CGGCCACATTACCGCTATGTCTTCATGCTTTTATATCTCATGTGCATGCGTTTTGTCAATTTTCGATTGTGTATGTAGTAGTGCTTAGACAGTGTCCGCTTGGAATATTTCTAACCCATGTGACCCACTCTGGCGGTTCTCTCAGAAACTAAATCTAGAGTTCTGAGCGTTCCAACAAGACTTTACACAGTGGAACACAGTGTAACGTCTCTGTGTCCTAGCTGGAAAACAGCCATTGCAGGCAGGGCAGTGTTACCAGATTCTGGCGAAGTAGTTTCCCTATTGGGACATGAAAATCTCCCTAGTTTTCCCTAGTTTTCCATTTAATTCATAAAATTCCTGTTTTTTCCTAATTTTCCACTAATTTCCCATATTTCTCTTAAATTCACAAAATTTTTGTTTCTTTACAAATTTTATTAAAATAAAATCATGAATTATTTTTTATTAATGTATTACAATTTGGAATTATAATAAATATGAAACAGAACACAGATATAAAAGAAAATATATAATAAGTACTATAAATTAATGAATAATATATTTTTATCGTGCATTTATTAGATTTAAAAAAAACAAATAATTCGTATGATTTTAACATAAATCTAATACGGGATCTACAATGGAAGTTGTAGTGATCGTAGAATCTCAAATCATAGAAAATTGACCAATCACAGATGAATATGAAAAATATGATCGACTCTGCTTGGTCAATTTTCTATTAAGACACTATTACAGCTATAACTTCTATTGTAAACTTCGTATTAGAAATTAGACTAGTAAGACTAGCAACTAACATAAATTAGTTCCATGCATAACGTACCTTAACCTAAACAATAAGTACATATTTTTAGCACAAATTTAATCTGAGGAATCAGTCTAGTAAGATTAATAATTAACATAAAATTGTACTTCATAACTATCTTAACACACGTAAAAAATACATGTTTTTAACATAAATATAAATCCTGTTTGTTATACATTCTCAAAAATCAGACTAGTAAGACTAGTAATTAACATAAAATAGTATGGACATCCATTGTCAACATGTATAAATATATATGTATATTTATTGTTTATATAAATTACTTGCGGTCATCAAAGTTATATGTTCAGCGCTAGGTTGAAACGTTTCACAAGTTATATTGTTTGCCAAAAAATTACTTTTCACTACACAAATCGAATTTAGTGTTTCTGAACTGAGTTTATTTCTTTTTTTATTTTTCATATCTGTAACAAGTGAAAAGATTCTCTCTGCTTCTGCGTTAGAGTGAGGAAGTGTTAGTATGAAATTTGCCAGTTTGTATACATTAGGTGCAATTAATTCATTATTAAAGTTTCTGGTGTCCCCAATGCGTTGCTAAAATTCTTCTATACTGAAAGACGCAAAACTTTCCTTTTCTTCATGAAACACGACAGGTAAATGCCTCCACTCTATTTCTAATTTAACAACATCTATGTAATTAGAAAATTTTTGTCCTAATAAAGAGAGAGAAGAAAATGTATTGTTTCTTTTATCCTGATATAGAGCAAACATTGGTTTAATAAATGACATCATATGATATAAGATATTGTTAATAGGAAGACGTTTCTTTATTTCTTCACTAGCACAAATATAAAATTCTAAGCAATTCTTCCTAATATTGTTTTCAACACTGCTAGGAAGAGTTTTAAGAAAAGTGTTGCATTCGAGGCCTAAATAAATTTTTTCTAATTGCAGAAAATTGTGAGGGTAACTGCAATTGATTGTAACTGAAATTAATTCAGGCTTTATGAAATTTGTTAAAATTTGGAAAAATAATTTTTTGCTTTCACTCGATAAATCGCCTATTAAAATTTTATCGCTTTGAAACAAAGCATTAAAGGTGTTGAAATAAGAAAGGACATATTTCAAAAATAGTAAATAAGCCTTCGTACAATCATTATTTGAATCGAGTAAAATATTCTCTGCTTGTTTTACCTTATCTTCTGCTGTAGCTAATAAAAACAAATTTTTTAGGTCATCCCCGTTATCTAACACTCGTATTACGCAATGGTGTAGACAAAGCCACCTAGTGGTAGATAATTTTAAAAGTTTTTTTCTTTCCACTTGAAAGAATTCCTGCATTTCTACAAATTGTGCGCAGCGTTTAGCACTGAATGACATGTATGCGGACAAATTCCTTAACAAATTCTCAGGAGTTCGTGGTAATTTTTGACATGTTTTGTTGGCAATCAGTGCCGCAGAATGACAAATACATTGCATCATACTAAATAAGATATCTCTCTCTCTCAGTATCTTTTTCTAATCTACTCTTAAAAGAATTTTCAGATCCTACCATTACAGCAGCACCATCCGAAGAAAAACCAATTATATTATTAATAGGGATATTTTTTTCACTTAAATATTGTTTAAACTTATTATATATGTTTTCAGCCGAGCAGTCTCTTGCATCTAAATCTATCAATTCTAATAAAACAATTAAAAATATAAATACACAGTGGTTCCAATAAAAACAAAACAATTCTTTGTCTGAAAGGCATATACCACGAACACCAGATAACAGTGGCGATTATTTCAAATCCTTTATTAAATACATGGAATCAAAAATAAACGTTTTGGTCCCAATCGGACCATCTTCAGTATTAACAGTACTATTATGAATTAATTAGACATGATCCTATCATACGCAACATAACTATACAATTTAGTTAAGCCGTCAATGTTACTTAAAAATAACTT